TATCTGCCTTATGCAGTTTGTTGCCGCATATTAATGTTTAGCTAAAGGCTAAACTTATCTTGGCTTACTAAACTAAAGGCTTACTTATCTTGATAATATTTGCACTAGATCTGTGAATGCTAGTTGGTGTCTCAGGCACATTAATTGGCCAGCAGATGTTAATTCTGCAGTAACATTTGAGGACATCACCAAGGTGGAGAAAATATATCAGTAGTCAGTACATTCGTCTATTCACTAGAGAGAGATGAAAATACACGGCGTCCCTATATCACTCTAGCTAGGAAAGGAAGAGGTGAACATAAAGACATTATTTCATTGCTAATGTTGGAAGCTCAACATCTGTTACTGATTAAAGATTTTAACCATTATGTATGCAATATGTGTGGTAATGCCAACTTCATCCTTAAACATCTCAGCTTTTGTCATTGTTGTTTGATATCGATACCGCCTGACCGTAAGATAACTCACGAAGGTACATGTAAAGTGCATCAAACATCTAGCAGAGAGGTAGATTTCTGTAACTATGGACAGAGATATGGGCCTAGTCACATGTGCTTTTATGATTCTGAGTGTATGTTAGATCGCTCAAACCCTAAAGGAATGATAGAATCACGTCACAACGCGGTTGCATATCCGTACATTATCATTGACAGACAGATAATGTATGATGTTGGGATAATATTTCCCAGCAACAGCAAGCTTTACTTGAGACAAAAACAGCTTGTGAGCTCTGTGATGAACCTTTTAACAGGAATGATGTAATCAAAGTCAGACATCACGACCACACAATAAGATTTCACAATTATAAAGCTGCTTACTGTGATAGATGTAATTTGCAGTGCATAAATTCATATAAGTTCCTGAACACTTTTTCCTAAAATGCTATCTATGATTTAGGAGTAATCCTAAACGAGGTTAAAGACAGACCAGGAATGGAAATAGATATATTAGCTAGGGATTGATTTAAGTTTATGAAAGTCGATGCGAACAACTTACGGTTTTTGGCCAGTTTAGCGCTTCTCAATGGTTAACTAGGAAGAACAGCTAAAGATCATATTGATAGTGGGAAACCTACCACCTTCACATTGGCTATGTTAAAGGGTGTAAATAAAGCTGCCATCCCACAACTGTTGAAGGGTAAACAATTAATCTGCTATGATTACTTATCATCTATGAGTGTACTAGATGAACCAAAACTTCCTTCATGTGATAAGTTTTACAACACATTGAATGACGAGGAGTTATCAGAAAAAAGATTATAAACAAGCTTTAGAATTTTGTAATCTAGCTAATGTCGTAACATAGGGAACTATGTTGTCAGACCCATTGGTATATGATTGACTTCGCCGGAATCTCCGAGGGGGTTCACCACTGTGACGAGACAGTACACGAATGTGGAGAACCAGCACAGAGGCTTAGATCTAGGTGATGATAGTAGTTACATCATCTACCTGGATTTTAACAGTCTTGCTTGGAGAATATCGCGTGTGATGTACCAAATGAGTATTGTGTGTTGTGTGATACATTGCAGGTTAGTCCGGAGGTAGCAAGGTATACGGATAAACCTTAGTTCTTTCCCATACCTGCATTACCGAGGTATTACATTTCACCCAACAGTAAGAATATTCTTACAGAAGAAAGACGCGGGGTATCTAAAAAACACTAAATTAATCGCATCACACCTCCCTCAGAAAGATTACTAATTATTATTACTAATTAGATAATTAGAGAAGTAGCTAAAGTTCAAAACATCTACGAATTTGAGCAGGAGACCTACCTTAAAGATTTAATTGAATTCAATGTTCGTGAATGTGCCAGTACCAAATATGCGATAAAAAAAGGCTTTCAAACTTGTATCAAATTCTATATATGGGAAGAGTTTCACAGACATTTCTAAATATGGGAACAATCACTATTTGGTCACAGATCGTAGAGGTTTCCTGAAATACGCTCGCAACCCATTCTTCAAGCATAGTCTGTTGTTAAGTAAGGATCATGTGATATGCACTATCAAGCAGAAGTCTCTCCTAGTCAACACTCCTACTAACGTGAGTTACCATGTACTCCAGATTGATAAGAGGTATAGTTCTGGTATCATGTGGTAAAACCGACAAATGGAGATAAAGCGAGTCTATTATATACAGATACAGACTCTTTCATCATTAAAGTCAAGTGTCAGGATGTGTTTGAAGAGCTGAATAAGTGTCCTCTTTGACTGTATGGATTTTAGCAACTTTCTTGACACTCACCTATCCTACTCGAAAGGACGTGAAGGTGAACTAGGTTTGCTCAAGTCAGAAATCGGGTCTAAGATTATTAACCAATTAATCGCTCTCAGACTTAAAACATACTCTTTCACCATCCAGGATGGTAAATATACCTGTAAGTGTAAAGGTGTGCCATACCACCTCCAAGAGAAATTCTCACAAGACTCGTTTCAACACTCGCTTGAAACAAACACTTCAATCAGGTTTGTGTCTAGATCTATATGTAATGTGCAAGGACAGATTTTTCACATGCCGCGGTACTTGTAGAGGTTTGTCAGCATATAATTATAAACGCTACATTCTAAGCCCCACACAATCCCTAGCATATGGACATCCAGATATCGCAAATAATAATAATGATGCTGAGAAGGATGTAGAAGAGGATGAGGAGGAGATTGAGGGAGGTAGAAGAAGTGTTTATGGAGGATGATGAAGTGGTAGAAGCAACACAACCACAGAGACTCTACCCTGTATTCCTACCCTGGAGCAAGCGAGATGCTTCAGCCCCAGAACTACTCAACCCTCACTAGATTTACGTTGTACAATTTAGTTAAGTTAGTATTAAGATAGATAACACATAATGGTAGAATTATATACTATAAGGAATAAGATGTTTATTATTATTATTATTGTTTGTGAACTGTGTTAACCGTAAGAACTGTGATTAGTTTTAAAAATGCTGCTGTACATATGTATAATGATGTGAATAAACGCCTGTAAATGACTAATGTTTGTTTGTATAAATTCCATCACCATTTCCTTAGTTTTAGCAGTCTTAACGAAGCATTAATCTTTGACAGTTCCAATGATATACACCGTGAGGAACAACTAGATATATTCCGAGAACCATCTCGGATTATTATAGCTAGCTATTCAAACAGTGGAAAGTCCTTCTTATGCAGTAAACTTGCAAGGAAGTATCAACATAAGTTCTCCTCAATAATTGTATGTGGCGGTGGTTACACCGAATTACAGTCAGACCCGCAAATTAAAAGGAAGCTGATCGAGCATTCAACTATTATTGATCCTGTGGAAGAGCAAGTGGATAAGGACTGTCATATCTTAGTAATCTATGAAAACCTTTTCAGAGTCTGCTAATTCGAAAATCGTATCAAACATGTTTACTAGAGGAAGACATCTGAATGTCTCAGTTATATTAATTACTCAAAATATATTTTTTCCTGGTAAATATTCGAGGAATGTTAGTTTAAATGCTTCTCATTTCATATCAATTAAATCAAGAGACCTCTCACAAATTGAAACACTAGGACGACAAATATTTGGGAAACAGGATTCAAAGAAACTTGTAACTTGCTAATAAGATTAGCAAGTTATTAGCAAACCCTATGGGTATTTGCTAGTAGATCTGGGCTCGAACACATCCCCTACTATAACATTGCGCGGTAATATTGTTCACGAACCACCCTATGAGATAATTTGCCAAGGGTGAGCAAGAACGATGTACTGGAGCGAGTATATAACGACTGACAGCTGAGTGGACAGCACTTCAGGATTCGTAGTCCTGAGGTTCCGGGTCCGATCCCCGGTAGAGGCGGAGACAAATGGGCAAAATGTTTCTTTTATCCTGATGCCCCTGTTACCTAGTAGTAAATATGTACCTGGGAGTTAGACAGCTGCTACGGGCTGTTTTCTAGGGGTGGAAGCCTGGTCGAGAACCGGGCCGCGGGGACACTGAGCCCCGAAATCATCTCAAGATAACCTCCCATCCACCGGTTTGTTGCGATGGGTACAGAGGTTGTATAATGCTGCTAAATTAATTATCTCCGGTATAACTATCTGATGTAAAGGATTATCTGAAAACCTTTGACACCTATACCAAGGTGTCAAATGGTACCATACCATTATTTAAACCTCCGTAAATCACACGGAGACAAGTATTAAGCTCCAAACCGCTATAATTTTAAGTTATAGACCTGCGCGAGATGAGTTTATTGGCCAAACATAATGATGGAGTGAAATACTTACTTGTATGTGTAGATATATTCTCTAGGTTTGCCCAAGTATTGCCCTTATCCAGCATGGATGGAAAAAGTACAAGTAAAGCTCTGACTTTAATTCTGGTAACAGCACATTCTCAGGGAGTATGCAAAATTAATTCTGATTGTGGTGGTGAATTTTATAACACTTCCACGAAGAAGATGGTGGCATCAAAGAAGATTAAGTTATATAGTGTTTTTTTCTCAGGAGACCAAGGCCTCCATTGCTGAGAGATCCATATGTACTTTAAAAGGAAAACTTAACAAGTATATGACGGCTCACAATACTTTAAAATACATGCAAACTCTACCAGAAATTGTGAGTAAAAAGGGGTTTAAGGAACACACAAGAGATGACTTTGTCATGACCTTGACCACCACTGACCTTGTCCTCCCTGGTGATGACCACCACTGACCTTGTCCTCCCTGGTGGTGACCACCACTGACCTTGTCCTCCCTGGTGGTGACCACCACTGACCTTGTCCTCCCTGGTGGTGACCACCACTGACCTTGTCCTCCCTGGTGGTGACCACCACTGACCTTGTCCTCCCTGGTGGTGACCACCACTGACCTTGTCCTCCCTGGTGGTGACCACCACTGACCTTGTCCTCCCTGGTGATGACCACCACTGACCACCACTGACCTTGTTCTCCCTGGTGGTGACCACCACTGACCTTGTCCTCCCTGGTGGTGACCACCACTGACCTTGTCCTCCCTGGTGGTGACCACCACTGACCTTGTCCTCCCTGGTGATGACCACTCCCCCGGAGTTGCCCATGTCCCTTGGCTGCAGCTCGAACACCGTCTTGAAGAGGTGCTCTGAAGTCATGGTCAAGAAGCCGATTTCTGCATTGGGGTGGAGGCCGTAGAGATGCGGAGACTCCGGCGGCAAGCAGGTGTCGATGTAGCTGTGGTAACCAGAGTAGTCCAAATTGGGAGGCGTTGGGAACCCTGGTGCCAAGTTAAGCTCTCCATCAAGCTGCAGGGTAGATGATTGTGTGTGAGTTATTTATTTATATATTTATTTAATTTATATATACAAGAGTTCTTACATTCTTGTATTGAGTAAAGCTCTTACATTCTAACGTTCTTACATCTAAGAATGTAAGTCTTCTTACATTCTTTAATGGCGTTAAGCTTCAGGGTTGATCACTGTGTGTAGGTTAAGCTCTTCTCGAGGTAAGTGCGACATACCTGGTCCATGTGAAGGAACTCCTCGAGGTAAGGGCGACATACCTGGTCCATGTGAAGGAACTCCTCGAGGTAAGGGCGACATACCTGGTCCATGTGAGGGAACTCCTCGAGGTAAGTGTGACATACCTGGTCCATGTGAAGGAACTCCTCGAGGTAAGGGTGACATACCTGGTCCATGTGAAGGAACTCCTCGAGGTAAGGGTGACATACCTGGTCCATGTGAAGGAACTCCTCGAGGTAAGGGTTACATACCTGGTCCATGTGAAGGAACTTCTCGAGGTAAGGGTGACATACCTGGTCCATGTGAAGGAACTCCTCGAGGTAAGTGCGACATACCTGGTCCATGTGAAGGAACTCCTCGAGGTAAGTGCGACATACCTGGTCCATGTGAAGGAACTCCTCGAGGTAAGGGCGACATACCTGGTCCATGTGAAGGAACTCCTCGAGGTAAGTGCGACATACCTGGTCCATGTGAAGGAACTCCTCGAGGTAAGTGCGACATACCTGGTCCATGTGAAGGAACTCCTCGAGGTAAGTGTGACATACCTGGTCCATGTGAAGGAACTCTTCGAGGTAAGTGTGACATACCTGGTCCATGTGAAGGAACTCCTCGAGGTAAGTGCGACATACCTGGTCCATATGAAGGAACTCCTCGAGGTAAATGCGACATACCTGGTCCATGTGAAGGAACTCCTCGAGGTAAGGGTGACATACCTGGTCCATGTGAAGGAACTCCTCGAGGTAAGTGCGACATACCTGGTCCATGTGAAGGAACTCCTCGAGGTAAGTGCGACATACCTGGTCCAGGTGAAGGAACTCCTCGAGGTAAGTGCGACATACCTGGTCCATGTGAAGGAACTCCTCGAGGTAAGTGCGACATACCTGGTCCATGTAAAGGAACTCCTCGAGGTAAGTGCGACATACCTGGTCCATGTGAAGGAACTCCTCGAGGTAAGTGCGACATACCTGGTCCATTTGAAGGAACTCCTCGAGGTAAGTGCGACATACCTGGTCCATGTGACGGAACTCCTCGAGGTAAGTGCGACATACCTGGTCCATGTGACGGAACTCCTCGAGGTAAGTGCGACATACCTGGTCCATGTAAAGGAACTCCTCGAGGTAAGTGCGACATACCTGGTCCATGTGAAGGAACTCCTCGAGGTAAGTGCGACATACCTGGTCCATGTGAAGGAACTCCTCGAGGTAAGTGCGACATACCTGGTCCATGTGACGGAACTCCTCGAGGTAAGTGCGACATACCTGGTCCATGTGAAGGAACTCCTCGAGGTAAGTGCGACATACCTGGTCCATGTGAAGGAACTCCTCGAGGTAAGTGCGACATACCTGGTCCATGTGAAGGAACTCCTCGAGGTAAGTGCGACATACCTGGTCCATGTGAAGGAACTCCTCGAGGTAAGTGCGACAGAGGACTCGGTCCCAGTCGTCTGTGATGTGGCCGCCATACATGATCTCCCCAAAAAGATAGCGCAGGTCTTCCCACGGCACCTTGCTGTTGGCCTCGAGGTAGTTGTACAACACATTGACGCTGATGGTGAGGTCACCTGCGGGTCACGAGAAGGAACCTAATATCACCTGATGGTTTCACTCTTGCAGTCAGCTCGGCATGACAAATAAATGAAATAATTTTATTGAAGTGAATTGTTTGATGAAATACAGGAAACATATTGTTTTCCTTCACGCTTCTGGTAATTGGGTTGAAATCGATGAGTAGTATGATGATTCAAAACTAGAAATAGTTATGATGAAGGATTACTATTGGAATTAAAGTCAACAATTTCAGCTAGAACACTGACAAGTTTCCGTACCCGTGTTGAAGGGATAAGGTCTGTTCCAGCCTTGGGCTCCAAACTTCCTTCGCTCTGCAACGCAAGCGTGAAAGTAGCACAAGGAGAATAGGATAGACTTGAACTCTGCTTCCTTGGAGCACATCTCAAGAGTCTCTTGTGTGAAGTTGTAGAGGGCCTTGTGGAGGTTAGCTTGCATCCCTCGCGGTGGCTCATTAGTGATCTTGATGGCTGATTCCAGGATTCCCTAGTATAGCATACCAGAAATTATTAATAGTTGATTGTAAGATTCTGTTAACAGGAGACGAGGAAATTGAGAAACATTAGTAATTCTTAAAAAATTCTGTTATAGAAAAAACTGAGAGTTGCTACTCTAGGATACAATATCTGGATTGTACCTGGTTGATGGGGTTCTGGGAGTTCTTCTACTCCCCATGCCCGGCCCGAGGCCAAGGATGACTTGTGAGAGTTTGGTCCACCAGGATGTTGCTTGGGGCGGCCCTCAGGCCCACACATCCATCACAGCCCGGTTGGTGCGGCACTTCTTGAAAAAACTGTCTAGTGTTCTCTTGAAGACGTCCACGTCTGTTCCGGCAAAACTTCGTATGCTCGCTAGGAGTATATTGAACTCCGTGGACCTCTGATGTTTGTACAGTGTTCTCTGATTGTGCCTATTGAACCTCTGCTCCTCACCGGTTCTATTCTGCATTTCGTTCCATATCATTCACTCCATTATGTTGTTATTTTACTGTGTAGATTTGGGACCTGGCCCTCCAGTATTTTCCTATATATTCACAATCATATATTGCAAATATTTAACAACTCTTGTTGAAAGAGTCCCACCCCTAGACGGTTCTGCACAAAATATTAATAATGAATGGAAGGTCATATAGCATTCAGTACAAGCCCAGTCATTTTAAAATATAATGCTACTCTTTACAGGTTGGCGCTAACTACTAGTTAATTATATAATTGTACAGATTAAGACAAGTGCAATTCTTTTATATGTTAAACAATTTCCTAAAATGGGAAATTTAATGAGAGAAATTTAGATTGTTGAGTAGCCTCTCATTCTCTGGTACTAATTTAAACTCCAGTATTTTCCATAAGTAAATTATTTGATACCTCTCTCCTATCTTTTCTAGTGAGTACATTTGAAGAGCTTTCAGACGATCCAAATAGTTTAGGTGCTTTATCACAATTTATCGTTGTTTTTCTCGTGTTTCCATATCGCTTCCATTTTCACTTCTTGAAAAAAACTGTCTAGTTTTCTCTTGAAGATGTCCACATTTGTTCCGGCAAAATTAAATTGCTTTATCGCAATTTATCGTTGCTTTTACTGTGCTTTATCACAATAAGACGAAAACAGGAGGGTTTTTCTTACATTTAAATCAGCTATATCCTTAATCTGGTTAGAAAGCAAGGATACCAATCTTGGTAAATAAGAAGTTAATCATTATATTCTGTGGAAATTGAAAGTCTTAATTCAGTCTCAAAACACTCTTAATACCAATCATTCTAACCTCAATAAAGTATTTAATAAATGTTTCTGATTAGAAACAAAATATCATAACCCACAAAACAATATTACTAATGAACAAATATAAATTTAATTCAAAGTATCCATTAGTATTAATAGTTTAAAAAACTTGGGTCTTGTAAATCAAATTTTAATTATTTACTTCTTAAAACTTTAAAATGTGATTTTAAAATCTTTATCTCTTACCTTCCCATTATCCTTCGTATTTCCATTCTATTTGTCCGATTAACCCACCCTTTATTAATAGGGATCACATTATTTATCCAAACTCTTATCATTTTATCGCCTTAGGATTTTTCAATAATACCTTTTCATTTCATACATTCTCTTCCTTATTTTCCTTGGAGGAATATTAGTTTTACTTATTTTAGTCGCCACCCTTGCCTCAAATGAAATCTTTGGACTTTCCTTTAACACTTTTTTAACCTTAGCACTTTCTATATTAATAATCTCTTTCATCTTGTTTTTCATTGATCCATTATTTACATACTCTAAATTTATAATTTCATCTTCCTCCAACTCATTTCCTTATGTATTCAGAAATACCCTTCTCCTAACCAGAACTATTTATAATTCTTCTTCAATGTTCTTAACTTTATTTATTATCTTATACCTTCTATTAACATTATTTGTTGTAGTTAAAAATTATTAACGGTAACTCAAGCCCAGTTCGAACAAATAATTAATGTTCAAACCCATATGTAAAACTCATTCTTTATTTAAAATCATTAACGGATCTTTAATCGATATACCTATTCATAGAAATATTTCAATTATATTAAATTTGGGATCCGTTATTAGGATTATAGTTAACCATTAAAATTGTAACAGGCCTTTTTCTATCCATACACTATACACCAAATATTGAAATACCTTTTTCAAGAACTATTCACATTTTCCATAACGTAAACTATGGATAGCTTCTACGCACTATTCACACCAATAGAGCGTCCTTCTTTTTCATTTGCCTCTACTCCCACATTGGACGAGGTATTTATTGTAGGTCCTACACTTACCTTCACACATGAATAATTGGAGTGTTAATTTTTTTCTTAACAATAGCCTCAGGCATTGCAGGATATGTTCTACCTTGAGGAGAAATATCCTTCCGAGGAGCTACAGTTATTACTAACCTCTTCTTCGCAATTCATCTCATTCGAACTGATCTAGTTTAATCAATTTGAGGATTTGCTGTTGACAGTGCTACCTTAAATGGCATTTTCTTTCCACTGCTTTTTCACTTATATTATTGGTGCTTTAACAATAATCCACATTCTTTTTTCTCAACGAAACAGGAGGAAATAACCCACTAGGAATTTCCATATCTATGGACAAAATTCCCTTCCACTCTTACTTTATTTTTAAAGACATTATAGGATTTGCTATTCTCTTATGAACTTTAATTCTATTAACCCTTCTTAATCCATATCTCTTTAGAGACCAAGAAAACTTTATCCACACAAACCCCCTTGTAACCATAGTACATATTGAACCTGAATGATACTTCCTCTTCGCTGGAGCTATCGTATGATCCATTCCCAACAAGCTAAGAAATGTTACTGCTCCAGCAGATTCCATCTCCATTCTAATAATTTTACAATTTACTCGTATTTCTTCTTTTCGAAGAACATTCTACCCACTTAGCCAAATTACATTCTGATACCTAGTATCAGTAGTAATTTTGTTAATCTGGATTGGTGCACGTCCTGGGGAAACCCTTTATATTTTAACTGGCTAAATTTTATCTACCTTATATTTTATATACTATATCATCAACCACATTATAACAATAACATGGGATAAATGATTAAATTTAAAGTTTACGTTTTTAAAAACAGTTTTTTTGAAAACACTATTAGGAGTATACCTCCAACTTTTATTCTCGAAGAAAAACAATATCTTTAATATCCAAAATTGATATTTTATTTCCCTTAAACTATTCTTCGAAAATACAACTTTAACTTCTCAGAAAACAACAATAAAATACCACCTGCATTTCCATAAAATAAATAAAAAAATTATAAATTAATAGGTAAAACTTTTTCCAAGCCAAATACTTTAAATACTCATAACGAAAACGAGGTAGAGTACCCCCCCCCCCCCCCCCGCAAAAAAAATATAACTCCAACCAATTTTATAAAAGTAACACTTAATGGATCTGGACCTAAAAAGAGCAACCTAAAAACTATTCATATAAATAAGATCCTAGATCTCTATGCAATAAAAAATGAAGCAATGCATTCTATGTTCTTGTATATTCCATATTCAGAATGAAACCCTGAAACGAACCTTCAGAAAAATTTAAAGTTCATTTAGTCTCGGCTAAACTAGAAGCAAATCAAACTATCCTTATAGGAATAGTTAATCATAAAAACTGCATCTCTATAGATACAATAAAATCTCTAAAATTAAACATCTCAACTAAACAAACAAATGACAATGGACAATCTTATCTCATAAGAAATAGTCTGAGCTACTGTACGAAGGCTTCCCAATAGTGAATATTTAGAAGCCCCCACCCAGCAATTATTATAGAATACACTCATGCTCTTAAATAACACTGCAAAATAACACCACTAAACTCATATTAAACAATCTACAATTATAAGGTAACACCCCCCCCCCCATATCATCAAAGACATAAATAAACTAAAAATAGGAGCTGACTGAATAATAGAGAGGAGTCATTAATACACTAACTGCCTTTGTTAAATCATTATCAAATAATGAGTTCTTATTTAATTAACAAATCTGCCAAACTTCCCTCTCCAATACACCAGTACTCTCATCTCTACCATTTAAATAATCCTGAACTGATGTACAGCAGTGGAGTCATAAACATACTGGAGATCTGCTGTTGAATAAAAGATGGTAATTTCTTCACGTGATTCACTAACCTGAGGCAGGATGTGGTTCTCGGGTCTGTTGGCGGGCTCAGCGCTCATGAAGACTCGGTAGTCCTGGTGGGCGGCCTCAGAGTTGGCCTCCAACTTTTTCTCCAGCCTGGGCAGCCATTGGCGCACCAGGTGGATATTCTGCCGGGGAACACACACAGTGATAAGCTCCAGTACATAGATGAATTACACGTCTCTGGAGTACATTGTTTATATGCTCAGACATAATTACTTCAAAATAAGAAAATATTTTAATGGTAGTTTGTTTTACAGAGTTTTAACCATAATTTATTAAATTTACCCAATTATATTTCCAGTATGAAATCCTTATGTGAGAAAATTCTGAGAATTTTCCAGAAATTCTTTGTTTTAGTTAATTGCGTGATCATCGTGCAAGATAAAGGAACACATACTGGTGTCTTGAAATGCGACTCACCTGCAGGATGACCCAATGACCTTCCCTTGCGGCGATCTTGATGGCCTCTTCCGCCACCTTCTCCTGACCTTGACCCAGAGAGACGTTGTGAAGGCGGCGGTTCTCACAGGCGTAGCCCAGTCTCTCCCCCAGACTCTCCACCTCCTGTAGGACCACAACTCTCTCTTCAAACACCTTTCTTCTTTGTCTTCCCTCACACCCTCCCATTATCTTCCCTCACACCCTCCCATTACCTTCCCTCACACCCTCCCATTACCTTCCCTCACACCCTCCCATTATCTTCCCTCACACCCTCCCATTACCTTCCCTCACACCCTCCCATTATCTTCCCTCACACCCTCCCATTACCTTCCCTCACACCCTCCCATTACCTTCCCTCACACCCTCCCATTACCTTCCCTCACACCCTCCCATTATCTTCCCTCACACCCTCCCATTACCTTCCCTCACACCCTCCCATTACCTTCCCTCACACCCTCCCATTACCTTCCCTCACACCCTCCCATTACCTTCCCTCACACCCTCCCATTACCTTCCCTCACACCCTCCCATTACCTTCCCTCACACCCTCCCATTACCTTCCCTCACACCCTCCCATTATCTTTCCTCACACCCTCCCATTACCTTCCCTCACACTCTCCCATTATCTTCCCTCACACACTCCCATTACCTTCCCTCACACCCTCCCATTACCTTCCCTCACACCCTCCCATTACCTTCCCTCACACCCTCCCATTACCTTCCCTCACACCCTCCCATTACCTTCCCTCACACCCTCCCATTATCTTCCCTCACACCCTCCCATTACCTTCCCTCACACCCTCCCATTACCTTCCCTCACACCCTCCCATTATCTTCCCTCACACCCTCCCATTACCTTCCCTCACACCCTCACATTACCTTCCCTCACACCCTCCCATTATCTTCCCTCACATCCTCTAATTATCTTCCCTTACACCCTCCCATTATCTTCCCTCACACCGTCCCATTATCTTCCCACACACCCTTTTATTATCTTCCCTCACACCCCTATTATCTTCCCTCACACCCTCCCATTATCTTCCGTCTCACCCATATTATCTTCCCTCACACTCTCCCATTATCTTCCCTCACACCCCTATTATCTTCCTTCATACCCTCCCATTATCTTCCCTCACACCCTCCCATTTTTTCCCTCAAACCCCTATTATCTTCCCTCACACCCTCCCATTATCTTCCCTCACACCCTCCCATTATCTTCCCTCACACCCCTTTTATCTTCACTCACACTCTCCCATTATCTTCCCTCACACCCCTATTATCTTCCCTCACACCCTCCCATTATCTTCCGTCTCACCCATATTATCTTCCCTCACACCCTCCCATTACCTTCCCTCACACTATACCATTATCTTCCCTCACACCCTCCCATTATCTTCCCTCACACCCACCCATTATCTTCCCTCACACCATCCAATTATTTTTTCTCACACACACTCCCATTATCTTCCCCCACACCCTCATTATCATCCCTCACACCCCTCCCATTATCTTTCCTCACACCCTCCCATTATCTTCCCTCACACCCTCTCATTATCTTCCCTCACACCCTCCCATTATCTTCCCTCACACCCTCTCATTATCTTCCCTCACACCCTCCCATTATCTTCCCTGACATCCTCTAATTATCTTCACTTACACCTTCCCATTATTTTCCCTCACACCCTCCCATTATCTTCCGTCACACCCCTATTATCTTCCCTCACACCCTTCCATTATCTTCCGTCACACCCCTATTATCTTCCCTCACACCCTCCCATTATCTTCCCTCACACCCTCCCATTAATTTCCCTCACACCTACCCTCCCATGAACTTCCCTCACACCCTCCTATTAACTTCCTTCACACCCTCCCTTTATCTTTTCTCACACCCTCCCATTATCTTCCTTCACACCCTCCCATTAACTTCCCTCACACCTTCCCATTATCTTCCCTGACACCCTCCCATTATCTTCCGTCACACCCTCCCATTAACTTCCCTCACACCTTCCCATTATCTTCCCTCACACCCTCCCATTAACACATCTAAAACGAAATGTAACAAACATAAAATCCGGTAAACCACAGAACCCATAAAATCCTAGATTATTGACTGTTGAGAAAAATATAATGGATATCGCCTGTTTAACAGTACATTCGAAGACACCTTTTGGGGTGTCCATTTGTCAAAGTTGTAGTTTGTTTACTTAAATCACTTTGTGTATTTTTAAATTCACAACTTCATTCCTGCCATCTGCTTTAACCGCTGCACTGCACACCTGGTCTCGGCAGACTCTTCATGGTCCAATTGTCAAGGACATATTTTTGTTGTGTTTATAAATGTTGTGGTAAAGTTAACCAAAATACCACAACTCTCAGAGCACCTTAAGGCGCTCTGTGCAGTACAGTGGTCAAACTCCTCTCCCATTCTCTCTCTCTCTCTCTCTCTCTCTCTCTCTCTCTCTCTCTCTCTCTCTCTCTCTCTCTCTCTCTCTCTCTCTCTCTCTCTCTCTCTCTCTCTCTCTCTCTCTCTCTCTCTCTCTCTCTCTCTCTCTCTCCCTCTCTCCCTCTCTCTCTCTCTGGTGTGTGTAATACTGTAAGATGTAATAAAGGTAAACATAAGAGAGTGCAGTTGTTGAGGAGGAGGGGAGACTGGTGACCTTGAGGGGGTCGACGCCGGGTGAGAGGATGAAGAAGATGGGAGTCGAAGGGCCGGACTCCTCGAAGCTCTGAGAGAAGTCGATGTTCTCCCCCTCCACGTACTTCCTTCCCATCCGCTCCTCGATGAACAACCTAATAACAGTACACACAAAGGCTTAATTGTTAGAACAATGAAACAATTTATTTAATACTTGAAAAGTGGGCAATTTATTTAATAGGAAACAGTGTGAAATGTCAGGAATATTTCAGTTAAATCATGCAAATTGAGCAATGTGTGTCAGCGAAGTGGAACACATATTGCTTCTGTGTCACTGAGGGCAAGTAGAGAGGCACAGCACACTGAGGGCAAGAAGAGAGGCACAGCACACTGAGGGCAAGAAGAGAGGCACAGCACACTGAGGGCAAGAAGAGAGGCACAGCACACTGAGGGCAAGAAGAGAGGCACAGCACACTTAGGGCAAGAAGAGAGGCACAGCACATTGAGGGCAAGAAGAGAGGCACAGCACACTGAGGGCAAGAAGAGAGGCACAGCACACTGAGGGCAAGAAGAGAGGCACAGCACACTGAGGGCAAGAAGAGAGGCACAGCACACTTAGGGCAAGAAGAGAGGCACAGCACATTGAGGGCAAGAAGAGAGGCACAGCACACTGAGGGCAAGAAGAGAGGCACAGCACACTGAGGGCAAGAAGAGAGGCACAGCACACTTAGGGCAAGAAGAGAGGCACAGCACACTGAGGGCAAGAAGAGAGGCACAGCACACTGAGGGCAAGAAGAGAGGCACAGCACACTGAGGGCAAGAAGAGAGGCACAGCACACTGAGGGCAAGAAGAGAGGCACAGCACACTGTGGGCAAGAAGAGAGGCACAGCACACTGAGGGCAAGAAGAGAGGCACAGCACACTGAGGGCAAGAAGAGAGGCACAGCACAGTTAGGGCAAGAAGAGAGGCACATCACACTGAGTGCAAGAAGAGAGGCACAGCACACTGAGGGCAAGAAGAGAGGCACAGCACACTTAGGGCAAGAAGAGAGGCACAGCACACTTAGGGCAAGAAGAGAGGCACAGCACACTTAGGGCAAGAAGATAGGCACAGCACACTGAGGGCAAGAAGAGAGGCACAGCACACTTAGGGCAAGAAGAGAGGCACAGCACACTTAGGGCAAGAAGATAGGCACAGCACACTGAGGACCAGCAGAGAGGCACAGCACAATAAGGGCAAGAAGAGAGGCACAGCACACTTAGGGCAAGGAGAGAGGCACAGCATACTGAGGGCAAGAAGAGAGGCACAGCACACTGAGGGCAAGAAGAGAGGCACAGCACACTGAGTGCAAGAAGAGAGGCACAGCACACTTAGGGCAAGAAGAGAGGCACAGCACACTTAGGGCAAGAAGAGAGGCACAGCACACTTAGGGCAAGAAGATAGGCACAGCACACTGAGGACCAGCAGAGAGGCATAGCACAATAAGGGCAAGAAGAGAGGCACAGCACACTGAGGGCCAGCAGAGAGGCACCCTCAGTGTACTGTGCCTCTCTGCTGGCCCTCAGTATGCTGTGTCTCTCTCTGCTGGCCGTCAGTGTGCTGTGCCGCGCTGCTGGCCGTCAGTGTGCTGTGCCGCGCTGCTGGCCGTCAGTGTGCTGTGCCGCGCTGCTGGCCCTCAGTGTGCTGTGTTATGAACCAAGGTAGCCTGAAGAGCGAGTCTACCTCAGTGAGGATTATTCGGCAATCTGGACCTGATTGAGAGGTCAGAGAAAATATATATATCTCTTAAATATATAATAAACGTCAGTGAATAATTTAAAAATATGAGCAGAGGATGAGCATGTAAATAAATGACATGAAATGAGATGTCGATACTTTGGTGCCATGATGTGAGACATGATGTGATGCTCGCGGGATGTCATGACCTTACTTGAGTCACAGAAGTCAGGGAGGAGGGCTTTGTTGAGCTCCTGGCAGAGGAGACACCCCCTACCTGTGTGCTCCTTCAAGTGGAGGGAACTAAGCAGGTGTTTATGTGAGGAACCTGCCAGCCAGGCGGCTATGTCAGCTCAAGTCAGCAGCGGAAGAAGCCTTGCAAGGCAATCCTGTTTTTTTGTAGGCGGCCTATGGAGCGCCATTTTGAGCTCCAGTGAGTGAGCGTCCTCACGTTAGAGATTTCGGGGGTTTGTGTGGGAGAGCTGCAACGTTTGTGTGGGAGAGCTGCAACGTTTGTGTGGGAGAGCTGCAACGTTTGTGTGGGAGAGCTGCAACGTTTGTGTGGGAGAACTACAACGTTTGTGTGGGAGAGCTGCAACGTTTGTGTGGGAGAACTACAACGTTTGTGTGGGAGAACTACAACGTTTGTGTGGGAGAACTACAACGATTGTCAGAGAGAAGTGAGTGAGAGAACTACAACGGTTTATCTGGATGAAGTGAGTGAGAGAACATCATACCAGAGGAGTAGTGTATGCTGAACTCCAAGTGGGAGTTCACCTGTCAACCCGTCCTCTTAAAAATAACGTCACTTTTGGCTCGTATGAGCACTATGGTCAAATTTGGACGTAATTTGAAATGAAATCGACTCACAAAAGTGACGTACTGTTCCGATTTCTGTTTGAGTCGTCCGGCCCTCCTCGGACAGCTTAGAAGAGGAACTTTCAATTAACGTTTTTCAGAACGTTTTGAAACTTTATGAGAATTTCCTGCCCACCTAACCTATCAGAGGACCCTTAACTTACTGTTCTTGAAAAAAAACTCCCAAATTTATTTTCAATTTTTTTTCATTTTCAAATTTCGTCCATATTTGGCCATACGGGCAAACGGCCAAAAGCGACGTTCTTTTTAAGAGGACAGGTTGTGCTGTAGCACTGGAGACGATTAGGAACACCTCTGGTACTGGAAACGATCGGGAACAACACCTGTGGCTCTGGGGATGATTAGGAGCAACATCTGTTGTACTGGGGATGTTCAGAAACAACACCTGTGGCACTGGGATAATTAGGAACAACTCCTGTGGCACTGGAGACGATTAGGAACAACACCTATGGCCCTAGGGAGGATTAGGAACAACACCTATGGCCCTAGGGAGGATTAGAAACAACACCTATGGCCCTAGGGAGGATTAGGAACAACACCTATGGCCCTAGGGAGGATTAGGAACAACACCTATGGCCCTAGGGAGGATTAGAAACAACACCTATGGCCCTAGGGAGGATTAGGAACAACACCTATGGCCCTAGGGAGGATTAGAAACAACACCTATGGCCCTAGGGAGGATTAGGAACAACACCTATGGCCCTAGGGAGGATTAGAAACAACACCTATGGCCCTAGGGAGGATTAGGAACAACACCTATGGCCCTAGGGAGGATTAGAAACAACACCTATAGCCCTAGGGAGGATTAGGAACAACACCTATGGCCCTAGGGAGGATTAGAAACAACACCTATGGCCCTAGGGAGGATTAGGAACAACACCTATGGCCCTAGGGAGGATTAGAAACAACACCTATGGCCCTAGGGAGGATTAGGAACAACACCTATGGCCCTAGGGAGGATTAGCAACAACACCTATGACCCTAGGGAGGATTAGAAACAACACCTATGGCCCTAGGGAGGATTAGGAACAACACCTGTGGCACTTGGGAAGATCGAGGAACAACACCTATGGCACTGGGGACGATTAGGAACAATACCTGTATCATTGGTACCTATTAGGAACAACACCTGTGCCACTGGCGTTGATTAGGGAAAACACCTGTGGCAATGAGGGCGATTAGGAAAAGCACCTGTGGCACTGGGGTCGATCAGGAAAAATACCTGTGATAATAAAGACGATCAGGAACAACACCTGTGGCACTGTTAACTATTAGGAACAACACCTGTGGCACTGTTAACTATTAGGAACAACATCTGTGGTACTGGGGACGATTAGGAACTACACCTATGACCCAGGGGATGATTAGGAACAACGTCTGTTGCACTGAGGATGATTAGGAACAACACCTGTTGCACTGGAGGCGATTAGGAACAACGCCTCTGGCACTGATGACGATCAGGAAAAACACCTGTGGCACTGGGGATATTCAGAAACAAAACCTGTGGCACTGGAAAGATTAGAAACAACACCTATGGCACTGGGGACGATTATTAGCAATACCTGTGGCACTTGGGAAGATCGAGGAACAACACCTGTAGCACTGGGTACGATCAGGATACACACAAAGACAGTTATAACATCACACACAGGGACAGTTATAACATCACACACAGGGACAGTTATAACATCACACACAGGGACAGTTATAACATCACACACAGGGACAGTTATAACATCACACACAGGGACAGGTTTACCATCACACACAGGGACAGTTATAACATCACACACAGGGACAGGTTTACCATCACACACAGGGACAGTTATAACATCACACACAGGGACAGTTATAACATCATCCACAGGGACAGTTATAACATCAAACACAGGGACAGTTATAACATCATCCACAGGGACAGTTATAACATCACACACAGGGACAGTTATAACATCATCCACAGGGACAGGTTTAACATCATACACATGGATAGGTATATCATCACTCACAGGGACAGGTTTAACATCATACACATGGATAGGTATATCATCACACACAGGGACAGTTATAACATCACACACAGGGACAGTTATAACATCACACACAGGGACAGTTATAACATCACACACAGGGACAGTTATAACATCACACACAGGACAGTTATAACATCATACACAGGGACAGTTATAACATCACACACAGGGACAGTTATAACATCATCCACAGGGACAGTTATAACATCAAACACAGGGACAGTTATAACATCATCCACAGGGACAGTTATAACATCACACACAGGGACAGTTATAACATCACACACAGGGACAGTTATAACATCACACACAGGGACAGTTATAACATCATCCACAGGGACAGTTATAACATCATCCACAGGGACAGTTATAACATCACACACAGGGACAGTTATAACATCACACACAGGGACAGTTATAACATCACACACAGGGACAGTTATAACATCATCCACAGGGACAGTTATAACATCACACACAGGGACAGTTATAACATCATCCACAGGGACAGTTATAACATCACACACAGGGACAGTTATAACATCATCCACAGGGACAGTTATAACATCAAACACAGGGACAGGTTTAACATCATACACAGGGACAGTTATAACATCAAACACAGGGACAGTTATAACATCATCCACAGGGACAGTTATAACATCAAACACAGGGACAGTTATAACATCATCCACAGGGACAGTTATAACATCATCCACAGGGACAGTTATAACATCAAACACAGGGACAGTTATAACATCACACACAGGGACAGTTATAACATCAAACACAGGGACAGTTATAACATCAAACACAGGGACAGTTATAACATCACACACAGGGACAGTTATAACATCATCCACAGGGACAGTTATAACATCAAACACAGGGACAGGTTTAACATCATCCACAGGGACAGTTATAACATCAAACACAGGGACAGGTTTAACATCATACACATGGATAGGTATATCATCACTCACAGGGACAGGTTTAACATCACACACAGAGACATTTATAACATCACACACAGGTACAAGTTTAACATCAAACACAGGAACAGGTTTAACATCACACACAGGGACAGGTATAACATCACGCACAGGGACAGGTATAACATCATACACAGGGACAGGTATATCATCACACTGTGACGGTGTTCCCCCCCCCCCTTATATTTCTCCCACGCCAGCTGTAAGAGTCATATCTACTTTACCCAAACGTTCTCTGCCTTCCAGAGAACAATTTGACATATGTGGGAGCATGAGGTGTTCTCGCATAGGAGAGAAATTAACTAAAGAAGAGTGTTTTGGCCAGTGGCTTAGGCCCTTTTGGACACCAAGAT